TGAGCTACTAAAGCCATAACCACACGAAAAGCATCCTTAGTAGAGACGGGTGAGAAAGTCTCTTTATAATCAATGCCATCCCTCTGACTATAGCCTTTTGCTACAAGTCTGGCTTTATATCTCTCAACTTTTCCATCTGGATTACGCTTAGTCTTGAAGACCCATTTACACCCAACTGGTTTGCAACCGAGTGGCAAATCCACAAGATCCCAAACTCCATTATGGGCCATAGAAGCTAACTCATCATGCATAGCATTTAACCAATCAGAACCATGAGAACTAGAGATAGCCTCTTTAAAAGTAGTAGGATCATCAACATCATTAAGATCATATTCATGCTCTTGAAGATACACCTGATAATCATCAGGTATAGAAGACTTGCGTAATCTTTGAGATCTCCTCAAAGGAACCTCTTCAGTCACATCATCATGAACTTGTTCATCTACTATATGTGATGTAGCATCAACAAAATCTAGAACCGAATCATTTTCATCACGAACAACTGGAATCACATTATCTGCATGAAAAAAATTGGATGGTACGGGAACAACAACACGATCTTCTCTAAGAGTGACTGGTTGTGGCACATTGCTCCCACTGTCCAAATCATCCTCAAAGAATATCGCACGGTCAGACTCAATAACTCGGGTGGAGTGAGAAGGGCAGTAAAATCTGCTACCACGAGAACCGATACAATAGCCAATGAAGAATCCACTGACAGTCTTAAGATCAAGTTTTTTCATCTGAGGATTATAAGGTCTCACCTCTGCCTTACAACCCCACACATGAAAGTGTCTTAAACTTGGCTTCTTCCCAGTCATAAGCTCATAAGGAGTCTTTGAAACAGACTTGCTAGGTACTTGATTAAGAATATACACAGCAGTCCTTAAAGCGTCTCCCCAAAGGAAATTCGATAAAGAGGAATGACTCAACATACATCTCACCATATCTAGAAGAGTGCGATTCCTCCTTTCTGCAACACCATTTTGCTGAGGAGTACCGGACATAGTATACTGAGCTTCAATACCACATTCATTAAGAAATCTAGCGAAAGGTCCTGGATTTCTTCCAGTCTCATCATATCTGCCATAATACTCTCCACCTCTGTCAGACCTTACACATTTTATCTTCTTTCCTGTTTTCAACTCAATAGCAGCTTTGAAGGACTTGAAAGCATCCAAGGAACTTGACTTTTCTTGTAGGAGATCTATCCATCCAAATATGGAATAATCGTCTATAAACGTGATAAAATACCTGTATCCACCCATGGAAATGGGTGTCATAGGTCCACACATATCAGTATGAATAAGTTGCAACACATCATCACACTCGTTTGCACCTGCATTTCTTACTTTTGCAGGTAAGCTTGCCCTTAATGCAATCAACACAAGTATCAAAATTAGAAAAATTCAGATCATGCAGTAATACCCTCTTTAATCAATCTCTCAATCCGAGGTCTAGAAATATGCCCCAGACGTCTATGCCACAACATAGAGGAATTTTCATCAACTCTACTACGCTTGTGTCCAACAATAGAATTAATAGACATGTCATTCAAATTTAACATGTAAAGCCCATCACATAAAACTCCTAAGCCAACAATAATTGAATTGAAATAAATAGCAAGTTTTCCATTGTCAAATTCAAAAGTGTAGCCACATTTATCCAAAGCTGAAACTGAAATTAAATTCCTTCGCATAGAAGGTACATAAACAACGTCTTTCAATAACAAAACATGTCCAGAAGGTAAATTTAAAGACACTACTCCTATGTCTTCAACTTGTGCTCTAGCTCCATCTCCCATGATAATCTTGGATTCAAGGTCACTTGGTTTTCTCAGGCTTGTGAACCCCTGTAAAGAATTCACAACATGAATAGTAGCACCCGAGTCAAACCACCAAGAATTGGGAGAAACATCAACAACATTGGATTTAAAACAAGCTAGAACATACATGTACTTACCTTCCTTATCAGCATTCTTCTTCTTAAGAATATAACAATCAGTTAGCTTATGCCCAAATTTCTTACAATAGGCACAATTCCCCTTAAAGTACTTCTTCTTAGGCTCCAAACCTACTGATGCTTTCCCTGTGTTCCTCTTTTCATGGCGAGATTTGCCTTTGAAACCCTTTTTAACAGGTTTAGTACCTGAAGTAATAGCTGTGAATTGCACACTATGCGGCTTGGATTTTTTAATAGATTCTTCCTCTTGGGAAATAATAGCTATCATTTCATCAATTGTCCATTCCTCCTTCCGAGCGTTGTAAGAAGTCTTCAACACATCAAATCGAGAAGGAAGTGATTCCATAACCTCGCCAAATCAAAAACCGTCACCGAGCTCCACCTTTAAAGATTTGAGTTTATTATAATAGTGCACAAGCTTCATCATATGCTCACGAACACCACCGACACCATCATATTTGGTCTTCTCAAGAAGTGACGAGATATTGACCCTTTTGAGCTTTGTCAAAAGTCTTAAACTTCTCACCCACTGATCTCAGAAAAACCTTAGCATTATCAGCATCCGGAATGCTTTGTCGAATAGACTTTTCCATGGTGTATTTCATCACCATCAAACACACCCTATTTGAGTGTTCCCATTTCTCACGATAAGCTCTTTGGACAGTAGTGGACTCAGGAGTAAGAGCTGGAGGCTCGTTCTTTCTCAAACAAAGGTCCATATTGGTAATTGCCAAATACAAATCCAGAGATTCTTTCCAATCCTCAAAATTTGTCCCATTTAAAGTTTTGACCGAAGTCAATTGCATAGGCAAAGAAGCTGGTATCAAAATAACAAAGAAACATTTAATACGCACAATTATTGTGCAAATAAACAAAATAAATGTCTCTAAATACACAACAAAATATGCCTATAATATCAAATTTCTCATTCACTATGACCCCGCCTAAGGGTCCCGAGTCATAATAAATAAGAAATATAATTAAAATAAAAATAAGAATACAATACATATCTTATGTCACAAGAAATCTAATACCGATAGGGTATAAGACAAATGATTGACATAATAAAATTTAGAATTACATTGAAAAAAAAATCATTAATAATAAAATACCGATAGGGCATAATTAATATTAATGTCATATAAAATTAAATTAAATAATTAAATATTTTATGTCCACAAAATTTTATACAACTATACCCACGATAGGTGAGTTTACAATCATATAAAATTATATTATGCTTAACAAAAGAAGAAGAAAAAAAATTATGTGATACATGAATTAATAATAATAATAAGGGTCCTTAATTTTACTGATCGAGCCCGGGACTTTTCTCAGCTCAACGAATATGCATGAGCCCATTCACTTCTTCCTCTTGATCCAATTTCCTTCATAATAAAAAATTTAAGAAAAACATAATAATATTATTTGTTTTCAAATTCATCTTTTCTTATTATTATATATATAATTTTATAAAACAAAATAATATATTAGTGGAATTTAACGCTGAATTCTCTTCCACGCCCATTCGTACACAGTGAAACTAGAACTGGACACGCCTATGCCCACAACGTGCAAAGCCACTGGAACTTGACACGCCCACGCCCACAACGTGCAAAGCCACGTCCATGAAACTGGAGCAGCACATGTACGAACACAGTGAAAACGTGCACCGCTTCTTAGTCACTGAAAACGTGCATCGTCGATCACCACTACGACATCGCAGTTGTTAATCAGTGACACGAAACACAGATCCACCATGAACAAACGGCCCACCACCATGAGAACCAGATGCGCCTCCGCGAGAAGACAACGCACGTCTCGACGGAGTGACCAATGCATATCACAGTGTGCCACCACGAGGGAGAGACCAACGCCGCAACGAACCACTTTGTGTCACTAGACAGCGGCTCAAACGTCGTTTCTCCACCACGCCGGTGCGTAGACCACTGTCGCCGCCACCATGCAGTGAAACCGGAAAACAAAGGCGCAGCCACGACGAAGGACAAAAAAACGCGCGGTGCGTAAACCACCGTCGCCGCCACCATACCAGTGAAACCAGAAAACAGAGGCGCAGCCACGACGAAGGACAAAAACGCGCGGGAAGAAGAGGTTCGGAAAAAAAAATTGTTTGATTCAAAACATGTTAAAAGGATTGTATATTTAGGGTTCAGCCTCTGATTGCAGATTTAGGGTAAAACCTCTTATGATAGATTTAGGGTAAAACCTCTTATTCAATTAATTTGAACTCAAACGAGAAAATTAAATTTTCATGCTTTCTGATAATGAATAATTATTAAAATTTATGATACACTCTACAAAAATAATGAACAATTATATTCTGTATCTTAGTAGCTCTGATACCAATGGTTTGATTACATAATAATATAAGATACAATAAATATAATATATTCTAAATTTTGTGTACCTGGAATTGTTGAAGAATCCATACAATGCGTATGAGAGAATATTGCTCTCTTTCGATAGGTTCTCTTGAACGTAGTGTGTAAAGTGGTTTTTATTGTCACACATAAAACTGACTTATGGGGTATCAGTTTTTATCCACTATCAGTAGAGACCAAGGATCTCTCAATAAGTAATCGATTCTGAACAGTCCAACCCATTACTGAACCGTTCATCGAAACCCAAATTAAATTATTATATTATATAAAAAAAATGATGATGTGTAATATAATTGATAATTACAAATAATTAATTTATTGATTAATGTTAATCCATAACAAATAGAGAATAATAATTTATATATATATATATATATATATATATATATAATAAATTATATAAATACAACATAACATGGATCCTTCACTTCCAAACCTTTTTTATACAACAATAATAAACTACGAACGAGAATCTCCACCACCTCCAACTACGTTATAAATCACTAATTCTATGAACCAAAATTTGTATATGTTCTTCCAACTTCTTAGTACTAATTAAAATAGCAACAAAATTTCAGCTTTTTGGTTTTAATTGTTCATTCCACCGATGGTGAAATTCGATGCGCTTATCGTAAGATGGCTCTGGTAAACATTGTACCATGTTTATGTTATTATCGGAGATACTATTGTTTTTTGTTGTTAATTTAACATGGTTCTGAATCAGTGCATTTTTGTTGAACATTTGGTTTAAAAGAAGTGGCATCCTGATAGATGGAGCAAGGACCCAAAGTTTGCACTAGAAGCAAAAAAACGGTTTCAGCACATTCAAGAGGCTTATTCAGGTGCTTTAAGTGGACAAATTGAACGTTTGTGCCTCGTGTGTGACTTGCATTATAATGAAGCTGTAACTGATTGTCTCTGTTTTCCTTTGTAAATATAGTTTTGTCCAATAAAGGGAAGAGAAAGAGATATATGATGCTGGTTTGTTTGGTCTAATTGGAGAGGATGATGATGAGGTGGGTTTTATGTTATGAACTATTAATTAATTAATTATCGTATGAGATTTGGCGCCTGAATTTCGTAACTATGAAAATTACAGGGATTTGTTGATTTCATGCAAGAAATGGCCTTGATGATGCAGAATGTAAGACCCAATGTATGCATATCAATCTCCCTCTTTTAATGTAGTCTCCGTTTCCTTTCAAGTTTATTGATTTTAAGATTAAAATTGTATTTTTCTTTTTAAAATTTGAAGAACTAAAATATTTTTTCAATTTAATTTGTCCTTAACTTTTTTTACAATAGAGAATTAAGTCTTTTCCAGTTAAAGAATGTGATAAAAACAGGACTTGAGTATTAAGTCTTGTGAAGTCACAGAGAAGAATTTTTATTTATTGAGTTCCTTCTTAAAACATAATAGTTCTAATTAGATTTTGGATCTTGACTATTTTTTAGATGAGAAAGGGACGTTGGAGGATCTGCAAGGATTGTTAATGGATATGATGGAAGATAATGAAGAGATAGGCATGTCTGGGTTAAGCTGGAACTCTTCTCCATGTCCTACAAAGAGGACACGTATTTTATGATTCTCGTGTTACAATTCAATTAATTGTTTTCATCACCATCTTCTAACAATCTACAGTTTACTAGTTCAGAATTATTGACATTTTTTAATTTTCCACCATTCAAGCAGTAGCGAATCAAACGTTAATACCTCTTCATTTATCTGCTTTTTAAACCATATATATATATATATATATATATATATATATATATATATATATATATATATATATTTAAATATAAGGTAAACTAAAATTTATCATATAAAGTTTACAACTGAAATTGGCTAAAGAAAGGGAATTGGCTGCACTGTACACACCTTAAAATTTCTGAAGTTGACAAGTCTATGGGCAAATGTTTCCCAATCTCAAATCAATCAAATTTATTCTCTTTTGTTTTTTGTTCACTGTCTAAATGCTCGCTGTTGCAGAACTTTGTAATCCCCGTGTACACAGTTCTTTACGGTTCTGAAAAAGAATACTACCGCAATAAACATTGTAGCAGGCCCCTTCATTTCAAATAAAAAATACGCAATCATCATTAAAGAATCGTTGGAAGAAGGACTTATTAATTATTCTTTGACTTAAAAGCATGCGAGAATCTATTTTATTTTAGAAAATCTTTACAAGCTCTTGTAAAGAAAACATGATAGTGCCTACATGTTTGTGAATATAATGCAAATAACGTAAGTAACGTATCGCTTATAGATTTGATGACAATGGTGGCCATGTTTGGCACGCCAATTGTTGGTTTAGTGGTGGTTCCATTAATTAGAGGGTACGTAAGAAAGGTGAAGTGATGTAACCAGCTGGTCCAGGTTTCCCAGCTCCAGGGTGGAGTGGGACAATGCACAGCCATTGATGGAATTGGTGGCCACTCGCAATCCATCTGATTTAGTCAAGTCTAGCTGTCTACCAACGGAGAAAAGGAAAAGCATAAGAATCAAGACCACTGACCTAACATTTGGATATTGGACACCAACCTTTCAACCTTGTTCATCAAAATCTAGCTCCTAATATTCCTGTCCTCATGTTATTTTAAGATGGGCTATGCTTGCCGTGACAAGAAAACAATGTCATAGAATTCAAGGTTAATAAATTCCATCACCTTGCATGCTTCTGCCATATCATGCAAGTCAACAGAAGCAATCATATACTGTGAATTAAAGAGAATACTGTCAGCTTTGCTTTATCAAAACCAATACTCAGTGTACCACAGTGCCAATTCATGATAGACAGAGAATCGAGGTAGCACTCCTTGCTTTACATGATACGTCAAAAGCAAAAAGCGACTTAGGCTGTAGACCACCATAAAAAAAAATTCTTACATGAATGAAGAAATTGAGGCTGTACATAAATACACTATTTGGACTAGACACCAACAAATGGAAGGTTGATTGAAATGTTGAAGAGAAGGAACATATTTGCATCCAGAAGTTTGGTTTATTGGAAAATTGTGATGAAGTTGAAGAAGCTCTAGATAGATTATGAACGTTGTATCTCGTATTAGAGTGAAAGAAATGGGTGACTATAATTCTTGATCCAAATAACCTGAGACATTATCAAAGAGTGGAAATAGGGAAGGAAAGCATGAAAAGGAAAACTTGGAATACGAGCTCTGTAGATCAGGACATGGCTCAGGAATCACCTCCTCGGAGAAACCAATTACATTAGAACAGAACCATGAAGGAGATGGCTCAGAACTGAGAGAAAAAGTCACATTTAAAAGACATATAGTTGAGAATGGTGATTCAACTATTCCTGAAAAATTCCCAGCAACATGAATATTTACACCTATCACATTCTTGAAAGTAATGCTACCCACAAGTGGAAGTGCACTCGTGTCATACTTGTCATCTGGATGGAAACCGGAGTATCCTGTCATGCTTATTCCCAAGTGAATATTTTCCAATTCTGCATCAGAAATGGAGATGCCTTTCATATAGCCACCTCTGCCCCTAGTTGTCTTCACTTCAATGCCTATAGACGAGTTGAGTACATGAAGCTTTTCTGCAACAATATCAGATATTCCCCCAGACATCTCATTCCCAAATGCCAAGCCAGCACCTGATGATGATTGTAGGTAAACGTTGCTGATGTGGACACAGGAGGTTGGTTTTCCATAGGCAATTCCATACTGATCCCAACCACTCTTCAACACAATTGCATCATGACCAGTGCTAATGTTACTGTTCTCGATGCATACATACTGAGAGGAATCTGAAAGTTGCAGAACAAAATGAGTCAGGACGCTCCCAAAATGAACTCCAGGAAAGTAATGCAAGATACTACCACTACGTGACTAAAGTGCATGTGGAAAATATCATAATGATGACAAGCACCTTTGATAATTGAACAAACAAAATGAAGAGGTATTGTTAACGGGACTAATAAACCAATTAACAGTGAACAATACTTGTTCAGTTATGAATTAACACTCATTGGTTAGCTTAGCTAACTAAAAAGTTTATGACTTGTGTGCTAAGAGAAAACTAAAAGTTATTAGTATACCTGGAACTATACCACTTGTACAAGGGGATTCAGCTGGTGCACGAGAAGTTATGTTTTGAATTTGAACGTTACTGTGATGTGGAAAGAAGAAAGATTAAAAAGGTGGGGGAAACAGTTTCCTTTTAGAAATTGGTCAGTCAACACAAATATGAGCTTGTGGTACCTGCAATATACTGGATGGATGTCCCAAGCTGGAGAGTCAAGAAAAGTCAAATTGGAAATTATGACATCAACAGAATCAACAAATTCTATCAGATTTGGTCGACTGTAGTTTAAGGAATGAGAACTGAACAGCTTCCACCAGATAGAACCTTGCCCGTCTATTGTTCCATTATCACCTGTTGCATTCATTAAACATATCAATTTAAGTAAGAAGAATTCCGTTGCATATACCATGAGAGAAATAGAAAGATAAAATGGTATTGAAAGAAACTTCTTACCTGTAACTACCACATCGCTTAAATTCTGTCCATAGATTAAGCTGCGATATCTCCCAATTCCTCTACCATAAGAAGGGAGGGAATCCACTACATCCCAATGAGAATAATCCTGAGGTGATACAAGATTAAAAAAAAGTATAAATAAAAAACACAAGAGATAGAAAATTCGGTCCTTTATTAAAATATTTTTCAATAGTAACAGTAACTCTTTAAGGATGTAGAAAAATCACATCATCTACACTTTTTTAGAAATAGTTATAGTAACTTTGACATTACGCTCCAGGAGAAGCGTATAAGAATTCAGAAGGATAAGATAAGAAGCTAACAACTAACAATGCTAGACAAGGTTTAGAAAAATGAAATCAAAGATTTGGTTCCATTTTGTCTTCTATGGTACTTCTACTATTCTACATATGCTGTTCTATGCTGTTAAGAAGGTAGAGACAAATAAAACGAACCTGAGATGCAATGATGGTAGCGCCTCTCTCAAGGAACAGAGTGAGGTGACTGGTGAGGATAAAACTCCCAGTAAGCCATGTGCCAGATGGAACATATAGTTGGGCACCCCCTTTGTCAGCAAATGACTTGAGATAAAATATTGCGTTTTGGAACGCAACTGTGTTCAGTGTTATTCCGTCTCCAACCGCCCCAAACTCCAAGATCGACACACTGTGAGGCCTAGCATTCAATGCATTCTGTTTGCATGGTCCACCATTGCCTTCTACCTTGCTTTCCACAGCAGTGCTTATTGCCACAAGCAAAAGCACTGCCACCTAAAAAGAATATAGAAAAGGAGAAGAATTAAAGTGCAATTCCAACTTCATAAGAAAGTGCTTATGAAACACTAACAACCTATTAAGTTGGACATACAGTTTTTAGAAACACAACCTACACTCTAGAGATATGCAAATGCTTCATCAGAAAGTATACTGAAACATGTATATCAATGAAGCAAACCATTTAAGCTTTAACAGTGAAATTCGACTTTCCATTTTGGAAAATATTATATGAAAACAACATCGTACCAACCACTGTACCGTACACCTGAACTACAAAGATCTCTAAATCTATTTTCACAGACAAGAAAGAAACATCTCAACTAGCCTACCTTAGCGTAGTCACCAATCTCTAGTCCCTCAAATTGTCTCCACATAGTTAAAAAAAAAAAAAAAAGATCCTACATCTAACAAGATATTGACGCAATTTATGACTGCCACATGAACTTGGAAGTCTACTGCAAATGGCAAACACAGGAACAAACTTCAATCATATTGTAATTGCTGAAGTGAGTGAAACAAACTATTTTACAGGCTATCTGAGATTGAAAACAAAAACGGCTAATAACAACATTAAAAGAAAAATAAATCTTAGTTTAAAAAATCTTATGGTACGACAAGACAACGTACTTACTAGTCTCTTCATGTGTGTTTGAGCAGCAACAAGTTGAAACGGCAATGGGGCAAGAAAGTTCTGAATCCAGTGCAAGAACAGTTGCATGGAGTAAAGGAGAGGGAGCGAGTTAGATGAAGAACATAGAATACAGAACAAGAGAAGGAGAGAACCAGTATTTCGTATATAATGCTAGAGAAGTACTCTGTACTCATAACAAAAAATAAAAAATAAAATAAAACGAAAAAGGGTGGTGAGAGAAAGAGACAGCTAAAAAGGAATGACAGAATGCCAGCTTGTACATTTCTATTACCTTGTACATTAACAAATTTATACGCATCCAACATGGAAACTAAAATAAAGTTAGTAATATAAATAATAATATTTCAAAGAATCTTAAATAAATCTTAGCATTATTTTGATTTTGATTTTAATATACAAATTATCAAATTAAGAAATTAAGGTCCTTCCCATGGCTTGTGGCGACACAGATGGAGATTGCACAGGGTCAATGTATATTTGTCCTTGGGATTTTAAGACTCGAAAGAAATAAAATTGTAATAGTTGATTTTAATTAATTAATTAATTAAACTTATTGATTACTTAATTTGTACTTAAGTCACGTGCGGTCTGAGCAACTGACCTGTCTCATTTGCTCAAATTTCTACCTACAGACAAATTTTCGTAACATCATTGTTTTATTTTTAGATTTAATTTTGATGATGAGACTAAAAGCATCTACATCATCAACTAGTCACATAAAAAACAACACTAATTATTTGATCATATGCACGTTATAATAAGAAAATCTTACCAAACAAATGTTTAAATTTAGGTGTGTTTGTTTTTTTTCACTTACCGAATTAAAAAATAAAAGCTATCCTTATGCCAGAGACATAAATAAAAGCTTCACAGCAATATCATATATCAAAGCTAGAATGATTAACAGGAAAACAAAATCTGATTCGCAGCTACCTCAATATTAACCATCGCTACAATTACCCTTTTCAGTGATAAGATAAAAGACAAAAAGATGTTTTCAGTACTGGTGTTTTTTTTTTTTAAATTGATTGATTTAATTTTTAATTTTATCTTTCTAAACTTCTAAATAATTATTTTTAGCTTCTAACATTCATTTTAAGATTTATATATATATATATAATATTTATTTTACAGATTTTAATTTTATTTATATACTCTAAAATGGATATACGGACTATAATTAGTAACTTAAAATATTTAAATGATTAACATCAAAGAAAAAATATATTCTATCATAAAAATGAGATTTAGGAAAATAAGGAGAGAAAGTTGATCACGCAATCATTTCAAGTCTTTCTTTTTTTACTCACTTGAGGGGATGCATTATATTCAACGGTATTAGGAAAGTTGTAATGTTCTAATTTTTTTTCTAAATTTATTTTTAAAAGAAAATGTGTTTGGCCAAAATTGAATTAAAATAATTTTTAACCCCATTGTAAAATTTTACATCCGTTTTCAAAATAAAAAAATTGTAAACTAAATTATTAATTTATAAAAAAATATTACACACTTTTTTTTATCATCATGGTTTATTATCGTTACCCCTATCATTATTGTTATCGCAATTAATATTTATTTTCAACGTTATTATTAGACAGATATATTTTAAAATTAAATTTAAAAGAATAATCTAAAAATAATTAAGTTTTGAAATATTTAAAATTTACAAGAAAAACACTTAGTTTAACTGCAACGAGTAGCTATTTGTAATTTTGTTAATTAAATTTTCCTCAAGATATACTAGACACAATATATTTTTCCAATTTAAGTTCTATTTCTCTTTTCCTCTATTCAAATATTTACACCAATGTAAAGCAAAAGTAAACCCTAAATTTGGTGTACGTGGTAATGGAATAGAGATTACTGATTGAGGAGTTGATAGTTGGAAGCAGATCACTTAATGTGCGGTGGCTATGTCGCGCGGGTGGATGAAGAATACGCTTTAATACAGGTCAGACTTCTCAGATGCATATGGAAGTTCCACAACATTAGCTAGGGATGAAAAATCCATTTCAATCTTAAATGGATATGTTAAATTAATATTTGATTATTATAGTTACGGTATTTTTACTATGCGATTGCTAAGAGAAGGGTATGACATTATAGTATTTAATTCATGGATACATTTTATCTGTTTATTATTATTATTCATAGAGAGAGTATTCACACAGGTGTCCTTGGTCTCACACAAAAAAGTCGCATGAAGTTTGGAATTCTCTGTTAATAAAAAATTGGCATATTAATAATTATATTTATGAATTAAAAAGAAGCAGATACTTTTTGATGATGAAGAGTGTTGAACCAGGTGAGGGTCCCATGTCCTTCAGTTCAGGATCATCTGAGAAAAGATGTAGGATCCGAGGATTCGTTGGATAATGCAACTTCATGTACTCCATTGTTCCACGCTCCTAATCTAGACTCCTATTACCTACTACTACTAAATTTAATTTACCTGGCACTGTAGAAATATAAATTATAAAAAAAGAAGAGAAAATTCTTAAATATTTTTCATGAATGAGATTTCGATCCCTAAATTACTTTCATTAATAAAATATATTTTAGTAAAAACTGAAAAGTTTATAAAAATAACGATAACTAAGGTTATATCATACTTCACAATCTACATGAGAAGATCCTTGTAATTCTATCTTGCAGTGGCTAACAGTGGTCAGTGGTCACTTCCCCAATGAGCCTAGTTAGTTTCCAACTGCGTGTTGGTTGCTGTCACACAAAATTTCACATTTTTCAATTGATTAGGTTGTGTCTATTCTAGAAACCTACTTATGACAGGGCACCAAACGTTGGATAAATCAACGAAGGGAGAACAAATTTTTACAACATATACTTTGTTATGGTTGGTCTGTTCCGGATTTGCCGGTTAGTTTGGCATGCTTTGGTTTTGTTCCTTTTTCACATAAATGAATTCATTTGTTTTGTAAATGATTTTGATACACGATATTCCATTTATACAGAGAAAAAGAAAACGGTTCAAGAGTAGAATGTCACTTGTCTCACTTTTATGGGAATGAAAAATGTTGCTATTATAATATCAAACTTTTTCAAGTATATGAAAATGGAAACGATTTCATTTTTATTTATGTATTTATTTATAAAAATATTAGTTAAAAACTACTACAACTAAATTGAAAGTGTATTCCTATAAAGATACAAATAAAGTTGAGCAATGGAAACTATAGGTACCTGTTGTTTTTAATTAATTAAGGGAGGAATTATTTGCGTTTGTAATCTCTTGTTGGTAGTGATGTAATATTTATTTAATTTGAGTGCATGATGCGAAGGCGAGGGTGAGCGAAATACATTGCATATGGACCAACATTCTGATTTGTCAAATGAGACGATGGATCTCATCCTTTCCACTCCCCCCTTCACCGTGCCTTTCTATTCTTTTCAAATTTTTGTTTTTTATGCAAATTTTTGGATTAGGATAAGTTTTACGTCTTGCACTCAATTTTGCATATGCTAAATAAATTATTGGTATGTGCTACTATTTTTTTTTTCTTATATAATTTTTTATCTACTTTATTTTTGTACATAAAAAAAATATAAGTAACAAGAGAAAGTCTTTCAAAACTAGTCAATAAGTTTTTTCCCTATAAAAATCGGTTATTCATTACCAATGAAATTCTATACGAATATTATAGTATAAAAAATTACGTACACTATTTATTTATTTATTACTAATATCTTATCACAAGATTTATTGTTTTACTGTTATAATAAAATTTATTAGAGTGTTGCTAAACAATACGTCCATTATATAATTTTCTAAAAAAAAGTATTAAAATTAAAAATTAATGATTGAGAGTGTGTATAAATCTTAAATAATAAATTTCCTGTATAAATCTTAAATAATGATTAATAGATAATATCTAACCATTACAAATATGTTATTTATATGGAGCCAGATATGTTATTTATTTTAAATCACATAATTACAAATTCATAAGAACTAGATAGGAATAATCAAAATAAGAAAATTAAAATGAGATACAAACATTAAATTTACAATCAGTGTTCTTGCAAAAATGTAAAAAAATTGAAAAAGAACTCATTTAATTAAGATATAAAAAAATATTTTTTAATACTGCTTTAATAAGTTCTAATATGATTTAAAATTAAAAAAAATCAATTGTTTAAATTTTTAGGAGTAGTGTTCTTAAGAGAGACCCTAATATTCCTTGCATCTGTCTTAGTCAAAAGTTATGAAAGGAATTAGTGCTTGGTGAAGCATTTAGCAATAATTAAAAAGTGTTATAGATGATATGGGGCCTCATCAGCCGTCGGGTTTCATAAACAAAGAACGCAATTGGGAATTTGGACCGGGTGCGCTGGATTTCAATTTTCACAGCAATTTGTCAACACTCCAAGCAAAAGTTAAGACGCATCCATATAGTGGACCAAATTCAAAGAAAGTTGATTCATACACAACACAATTGAGAAGTAGGGTATTTGCGGTTCAATATTTTTGTGGATGGTGAATCCAACTTCAATGTTACACGTACCCAGAAAAGTGAAGCCAAGTAGGCCCAGCACCGTCCAATGAATTCTCACTTCCTTGCACAAAAAATCTTAGCCTCTACTAAACAGAAAGCAAGTTGTGTTAACTTTTGGCAAATATTACCATAAATGAGAAAGAAAGAAAAAAAGAAGGTGGTATAATTAGATGACAGCCAATCCGAAAATGATGTGGCACGTGTGTAAAGCGAAAAGTAAATGAGAGAAGCATGGGAAAAAGGGCACCCGAGTCGGAGTAGGAGTTGCCATGCTTGTCCGCGAGAGAGGGGTTAAGGTTAATGAATGTCTCATTTCATGTCATACTTTTAACTTACTCACACACACACACAACACACAACACACTCTTTCTTCCTTCTTTCTCTCTTCTTTCTCCTTCACGCCTAACCAAATGGGCGCCTCCACCACCTGATCCACCTCTCCGTTTTCTCATCCTTTGGTAATAATCATTTCTCTCTCTCTCAATCATTGGATCCATCCCTTGCAATTTCTCTATACTCTTTCCGAAACACTCTAAGCCTTGTTTTAATCCACTATATTCGCTTCCGCAGATTTACTTTGACCGTTATCTTTGATAGGTTAAACACGTTGTCTTTATTTTATTTCCGCTAGATTTAAACACGATTTCAGCGGTTGTTGGATTTGACTAACATATGTGTCGGAGTGTTTTATTTATTTTTAAAAGTATTTGGTTCGGATTCTCAACTCGTGTTTTAGGGTTTATTCATCCATGTGAATTCTAGTTGTAGATGTTCACTTGTTGATGTTGCTTTTGAAGTTTGAATACTGGTTTGTGAAATTTTAATATACGAATACACAGAGAATGATTTTTTTGAATCCTCTTATTACAGATCCGTTGATACGGAGTTAGATGATGGAGTCCTGTGATTGTATAGATACGCAGTATCCGCCGGATGAACTTCTTGTCAAGTATCAGTATATCTCGGATGTTCTAATTGCTCTTGCTTATTTTTCGATTCCGGTGGAGCTCATCTATTTTGTTCAAAAGTCTGCTTTCTTTCCGTATAGATGGGTGCTTATGCAGTTTGGTGCTTTTATTGTCCTCTGTGGAGCAACTCATTTCATAAACCTGTGGACTTTCTCTCCGCACTCCAAAGCTGTTGCTGTTGTCATGACTATTGCCAAAGTGTCATGTGCTATTGTGTCTTGTGCGACTGCTCTGATGCTTGTGCACATTATTCCTGATCTGTTGAGTGTTAAAACTCGTGAATTGTTCCTCAAGAACAAGGCTGAGGAGCTTGATAGGGAGATGGGGCTTATTCTTACTCAGGAAGAGACTGGAAGACATGTTAGAATGTTGACTCATGAAATTAGGAGCACACTTGACAGGCATACAATTTTGAAGACTACTCTTGTGGAGCTGGGGAGGACTTTAGGCTTGGAGGAATGTGCATTATGGATGCCTTCCAGAAATGGTCTGAATCTGCAACTTTCCCATACCTTAACCTACCATGTACAAGTTGGGTCTACAGTGCAAACAAACAATCCTATTGTCAATGAAGTTTTCAATAGTCCTCGAGCTATACGGATTCCACCCACCTGTCCACTGGCCCGGATCAGACCTCTTGTGGGAAGATATGTGCCGCCTGAAGTTGTTGCTGTTCGGGTGCCGCTTCTAAATTTGTCCAATTTTCAAATTAATGACTGGCCCGATATGTCAGCCAAAAGCTATGCAATCATGGTTCTCATTCTCCCTACTGATAGTGTTAGAAAATGGCGAGACCATGAGTTGGAACTTGTTGATGTGGTAGCAGATCAGGTACTGGATTCATTTGAGATTTCCTTTGTCACACTGTTTGTCATTTTCTGTCATTTGTTTGTTGTGCCAGTTCTTGGTTTTGGTTGTATATTCCCATACCTTATTTCCATTACTGTGTTTCCTTCGCTCTTTATTTGCTTAGACAATAATAATCATTGTCATTGGTACTTGGAAGTTCTGTTCTTACTGTCATATGGAACCTGTTATGGAGTGTGGAATATTCAAGAAAATTGGGAAATGGTTATGAACCATTAGCCATTTGACCTTGCCTTAAACAATGTTGACATGGTGTGTACAGGTTTTTCTCAGCCACTTAGGAATGAAAAATGCAGTAAAATTTGGTAAACTCAATCACAAAAGCTAGCTAAGGTGGACGCAAGGTTAAATGATAATTATAATTATTAGAACGATTGTAATTGCCGTTTTTGTTGCTTTTCACTTGGTAATTAAAATGATTAGTGTGTCTGTGATATTTCTATTTATTACTTCTCTAAATAGTTCTACCTCCACCATGTAGTCAATACCAAATTTCATCATGTCTCCCAAGTCATTACAAACATGTGATTACATCTAGTAGCATATCTTGACAGAAGTGATTTAGCTAATCTAATGTAGTTCTTTATAGCTTAAATTTAATCAGTAGTTCATCGTGTTGGATCTGTCACATTCCTTACTTCTATGTATGCTTCCTAATATGAAACTCTATAACTACACGTGAAATATTTGATTTAGTTGTATGCTTTCTTGGAATATGATTTTCTTACTAAATTAAATAACGTGTTAATATGTTTTGAAATTTGGTTTTGTCGAAGGAAGTTGCCACAAAACTTTGCTCACACTTTCTGGTGTCATGGTGAGAGTTTTTTTCTTATGACCCTCAAATGAGGAAACATGGCTGTTTATTGTTGAGATTTTTCAAATATTTACAGTCGAAATCTTCTCTTCTACTTGTGGAATTCATTTGTAGTTTCCCAACAGGTAGCAGTTGCCCTTTCTCATGCTGCTATTTTGGAGGAATCTATGCGAGCCCGTGATCAACTCATGGAGCAGAATCTTGCTTTAGATTTGGCTCGGCAAGAGGCAGAGACGGCAATTCATGCTCGCAATGATTTTCTTGCTGTTATGAATCATGAAATGAGGACACCAATGCATGCAATCATAGCATTGTCGTCGCTACTCTTGGAGACTGAGCTGACTCCGGAGCAGAGGGTTATGATAGAGACAGTGTTGAAGAGTAGTAACGTTTTGGCAACACTCATTAATGATGTTCTAGATCTTTCTCGACTTGAAGATGGTAGCCTCGAATTGGAAATGGGAAAGTTCAACCTTCATGGTGTTTTGGGAGAGGTAGTTGCTATAAGTTTTTTTTGCTTCGTTGTTCTGAAATGGCAGGAACATAATTCTCAAGTCTTTACTGTGAACTGAATTTATATATTGTCTTCATGTTTTTCCGTATCTTGAATGCAGATTGTTGAACTGATTAAGCCAATAGCATCTGTGAAAAAATTACCTATTACTTTAATTCTGGCTCCTGATCTGCCTACTCATGCCATTGGAGATGAAAAGCGGCTAACACAAACACTTCTGAATGTGGTGGGTAATGCTGTCAAATTCACCAAGGAGGGTTATGTTTCTATAAGAGCATCTGTTGCAAAACCAGAATCTTTGCAAGATTGGCGACCTCCAGAGTTTTATCCAACATCAAGTGATGGTCATTTCTACATACGAGTCCAGGTTATGATTGTGCCATTCAACGTCTGAGCCTTAATTTTTTAGATATAAGTTTTAGTAAAATGGCACATGCTTTACATCCATATAATGATGTGACTTTATTCTTTGATTATCCAAATGGTTGAGACATCCATATCATCCATTCGGATATACCTAAATACTCGTAGGAATTAAACCAAAGATATTTTGATTGTTATCATTGTTAAATATGGCAATTAAGTTCATTTAAATTTGTTTTTTCTTTATTGTTATTGACACAAGCATCATCCTTTGCTCAGGTTAAGGACTCCGGATGTGGGATTCCCCCACAAGATATTCCTCATCTCTTTACCAAGTTTGCTCAGTCTCGGAGTGGACCGGCTCGACCTAGCAATGGTGCTGGCCTTGGGCTTGCTATTTGTAAAAGGTAGGGGGTAAACATCTAATACTACTTTGAGTTTTGCAGCAGTTTTTCTCCATTCTCAATATGCTAAATGGATGTGTATGTATAAAGCCATTCGTCTATTAAGTCTGACTTCTCCACAAAATTAATTCAGATTTGTAAACCTAATGGGAGGTCACATATGGATTGAGAGCGAGGGCCCTGGCAAAGGAAGCACAGCTACGTTTATAGTCAAACTTGGGATTTGCGGTAATACAGATCCATCAGATCATCCGGCTACAAACAGAAGCCAAGCATATAGTGGAAGTGGCGGCCTGGCCAGATTTAAACCCTTCATCAAAGATGAAGACGACACTGGTTTTTCAACTAGGCGCAATCAAAGAAGTTTCTAGTATCTAAGACAGCAAAATTGCGTACGACAAGATGGAGTAAAACTACTTTCATTTTGCATGTGCTAGATTGTATAATTTACAGTTTGCAGCTGTAGATTAGGATTACTATGTCGGCCATATTTGTAACAAACAGTTTTCATCCGAACTCCTGCCGTATTAACTAGAATACAATACAATGAAACAAAGTTGAGAGACACTCCTTTACTCAATTTGAGTTGCAGTATATATTGCGTTAGTGACTTTTGTCTTCGTTAAAGTCACAGTATCGGTATGAACATGTTGTTCGTTAGATTTACTGTCCATAGTTTGTGTTGAACTTTATTGTGACAGAAAGATCATACTAATAGACGTATCCAGAAGCTTTGGTATAGAATTTGTGGAAATGGTCAGTTTCACTTTACAAGCTTCTCTTATTTCTATGAAAAGCATAAGCCCCATTCAGACACCAAAGACCCTCTGCAGAAAAGGATTAAGTTGGGCTTTATCGATAGAAGAAAGCTAATATGATGTTTATCTTTATAAAATGTTAACTTCGCAGTTTTTTTTTCTACCTGCCTTCCTAAATTGTTATTGTCATTTTATTTAGGGTCTAGCTTTGTTCAATAATTCTAGAGGAGTCATGATTTTTTTTTTCATTTTTAATATTTTAAATAAACTGACAACAATATTTTATTATCAACATTTGATAATGTGTAGAGATTAATAATAAAAAAAAACTAATGATATTAGAAAGGATGAAATGAACTTAAAACATTTGGAGAGAAACAAAGTACGCAAAATATTTAATAGAAAAATAATATGAAAAAACTGAAATAAAAACTACGAAATTAACATTTTAAGGGACTGAATGTATATAGAATCAGTTTTTTTATGCACAATTTCATTAATTTAATAATTAAAATGAATTTTTTTTTTATCAAAATGAAACTTATCTGATTTTAAAGCAACCAAAACTTGATCAAGACCAAGAAGTATTAAGATGTCATATCTTTCAATGTTTTCCCAATTACTATGTATCTTTTACCGTAACATAAATTTTTGAGTGGGAAAAACTTCTTTTGCTTAATTAATTAACTCATACGGAAAATAAAGAGAAGATGAGAGGAAGTGATATGAAATTAAAAAAAAAGTTTGTGTTTGACTGAGTACAAAATTTAATAAGTTAAAAGTTGTGAAATTCAATTCTTATATTCACTCTAGTTGTATTTTTTTCTCATCTATTCCACTATTTATCTCCTATTTTCATTATTTTTATTTCTATACATCATATTTATCTTATTTTCTTTTCATTTTACCAAACGAACACTATACATATGATTTGAATTAAAGTATCTGAACTATACTTGTTACCGTTCATACTTGAACATCATCTTAAGAATTATTTCATAAAAGAAAAATTTACTATCTTCTTTTTATATCTTTTGATTCTTTATGTTTTAATTTACCTTTTTTATTTCAAATCTTAGATTCTTATGCTTTTTTAAATATTTATTTAGTATTTTCTATAGGATTTATACATAAAAAGTCAAATACATTAAATAAAGACATTTTAGTTTATATATACAAAAAAAAAACAATAAATATATTTTTATTAATGTACGTTAATATCAAGGAAATAAAATTACATTCAGACTAGGATATTTTTGAACACCCTAATTCTTAAAATTTTAAGTGACCAGTACTGAGATATTAAAATTAAACAAAAGTAACATTATTTAAATTTTTAAAATTTAAAACATCAATTGTTTTGAAAAATAAAATAAAATATGTAAAGAAATATGAAAAGAGATAATAATGATAATAATAATAAATAATGTATATGTGAAAACAAAATTCCATATCTTCATTTTCCTTGTTGAACTAAATGTAGGTTTGATATCAAGTTTTTGTCTAGATCACACGTGCCTTTGAGTCAGCCACCTTATCTTGATGCTTAGTCCGTTTAATAAAATGCAATTTAAAGTATTACACTAATTATTTTTTTCACTAAAATATCTTGAAATATAAGTTGCATCTTGAAGTTCAATAATTAAAGATACTTCACAGTAAATTATCCAAACCATATATGAAGTTTCATAGAATTATAAAATAACTTCTCAAATCGTTACATTTTACATCGTCAACAATTCTTGAACATTCCTATGCGTATTTCTACAAATAAGCTTACTAAAAATTACTCATAATTTAAAAAAACCTAATAATTCCTAGATACTTTAATGTCTTGAGTATTATTGGAGTTTGGCTTGCGTACAGAACATAATAGAAATCTTATTTTACATTATCACAGATGTATAATCAAGAAACATTAAGATAATAAATACATTAATGGCAAATAAAATTAAACAGAGTAGAGGCAAAAAAACATTTAAAAAATAACAAAAATGTGCCTTACTTAAATAACTCATTTCCCAGTTACTCGGTCTTCTCTAATCAGATAAAGACACGTAGACTGGCGTAATTTTGTAGTTGAATTGTTTAAGCAGCGAACAAGACAAATTCGATGGAGGTTAGGCGATTCATGAATACTATAGCCATAACCAGAAATAATTAACTCAAGTATTTCTGCAACAATAATGATATCCATATTAAAAAAAAAAAAAGCCAAAGCACCAGCAAGAAAGAGCAGAATGTTATAATTTCATATACTTAAATAAAAACTAAAGAAGGTCTAAACCAACACAGAAACTCCTCAATACTCGGCAAAACTACTTTAAAACAGTAACTGGAAATAACAGCCCCAAAAATTCTACCAGCCAATATCAGAATATGTGGCTTACTTCTTGGATTTCTTTGGTGCTCTGCAATAAAAGATGCACATTTAGACAACACATAAGCCCAAAAGGAGTAAACACAGGACAAGCATAAATTATAAAACTCACTGGGCAGGCTGTGACGCGGTAGCAGCTGGAGCACTGGGTGCAGCTGCTGACTTTTCTCCTGGACCCTAGACATTTTACAAAAGAGCAGAGGCAATGGTCAAATTCTTTAATTCCAATTTCAGAAAAAATACTTATGAATGCATTAACTTCGCAAGTGTAACAAATACTATATTCACATTTAATATATTCTCAATACAGTATGAAACTCACTTGTGCCAATCGCTCCTCCCTCCGGGCAATTTTTCTTTCTCTGCTGGCCTTGTTCTTGGCACGTTTGGCCTCGAACTGATCAGATAAGGTCTTCTCTCTTGCCTTCTCAGCTTTGGACTTGTGTATGCTCTCCATCAAAACCCTCTTGTTCTTGAAAACATTACCCTTAACCTTCATGTACATGTCATGGTACATGTGCTTGTCAATCTTCTTAGACTCCCTGTACTTGCGAAGCAAGCGTCTGAGCACACGCATTCTCCTCATCCAAAGGATTTTAGTAGGAAGCCTTGCCTCCCTTGTACCTTTACGCTTACCTAGAAGCATTGAGGAAACGTTATAAGTAATCCCACGAAACAATCACACTGATCAACCCAATTATTAACAATGATATCAATTGAAGATGGTAGAAAGCCAAAATTATGCCCTATAAACATGCAATTGAGGCCTATGGTGCCACCATTGTGGGGCTCCCTTCACATGTGACCCATGCCACCGCTATTTAACAACATCGATTATCAAAATGACAAACAACTCATCAAAATATTTACAATATTACAGCAATTTCATTATGAATACATAAATACCCATAAAGTCTAGGAACATCATATTTAAGGATAGTGTTACATTACACATTAAGGGCCGCTTGCAATAAATAGAAAAATTAAAGTCTTACTGAATAAATATATATTATGCAGGCAACTAAGCACCTAATTATATATACTGGTTTTATAATAAAAAAAGAAAGGTAGGTTAATCTATTTTTATAAAAATTGTATGATGTTTTTATTAGCTACATTGTTCAGTGCCCATTTCTGATCAAAAGCTTAAAGACGTATCATAAGCTACTTCATAATATAAATCTAAATACACTTCAAATAATTAACCATTTCTGAACAAAAAAAAAATAATTAATCTACCAATGAATAGATCCCCAAAATATTGAGACAAAAGGGATTTCGCATTAGGACAATTAGGACTGGGACTGTAAGATACCATATCCAGAGTGACGTCCTTTCCTCTTGGCTTCCTTCATTCGACGGGCACGTGAGCGAGAGTGAATCTTGGTGGGCTTCCTGATAATAAACCCATCCTTAACCAGCTTCCTTATGTTTTGGCCTGAAAATCAAAACTCACAATGTTTAGAAACAAAAATACGCAGAACCTCATAATAAAGCATGTTGACCTCCAAAAGCTATGCAATCATTAGAAAAAAATAACATTCGATTACAACATTAGTGATATAGTATTTGCAATCTACACTTAAAATAGCTCACGTTTGCATCCACATATATTTTTGCAAACGCTCATAAACACAGAAAAGGTTCAGATCGTATAAAACCTAAACCGAAAATAGTGAAACGAAATTCATAATGACAAAAATGCTGGGAGTGCGTACGAGAATTGGCCATGGAGATTTCGTTAACTTCATTGGGATCAAGCCAAACCTTTCCTCTGCCGCACTTGAGAACGCTTGCGGCGAGGCGCTTCTGCAGTTTCAGCGAAACCATTTCTGCTGCAACTGTTGGTGAAGCCTATCTTATCGCGGACTGTGACGGGAAAGCACCTTATAACCCTAGGGTTTGGAATCAAGTCCCATGTAATAATAATAATAATAATAATAATAATAATAATAAACAATAATATAATATTTGTTGGGTTGGGTCTGTGTCCTACGGACTACTCTTACGGCCTGTTTGACTAGTTGTAGGTCTTGATGGCCCAATACAAAAAATAACCAAACTTTGCAGCTAATGTTAGAGTTTATATTAGGGTCTTATTTATTTGAGTTTGGTCAGGTTTTTAGTATATAATTTTTATCTGATCCAATTATTTTTTACCAGAATAAATTGAATTCGATTTATATTAGATTAACAGTATGAAAACACTTGGAATTAGTTGATTCATAAAATTGAATAATTTAAAAAATAATAATACTTGTTTTAAAAATATATCTTAAAATAAACATTTGTAATATTTCTTAATAATCATAAGGTAATGATAATATTTATAATATATATAAATGATATTTATGGGATAAAACATAATAAAATTGAGTTTGGTTTCTTAGTCTTGAAATTTAAGGACCTATTATATATAATCCAATTATAATTGAGTAACAAGGAAAAAAAGAAATCCAATCTTAATCAATAGTCGAATCTAACTCACAAAAATTTAATTAGGTGAGGGTTTGCAAGTTATAAAAATAATTCTTTTTAATATTTTATTGAAATATATAAATATATCATATTATTATAATTTAAACTATAAATATTAATTAATTAAATTTAAATAATTAATTATAATTAAATATTTTAATATAAGTAATTTTCAAAATGTATCTAATAAAATATTAATAAATTAATAAACAAATTATAAATTATTTATTTAATTAAAGATATATTTTTAAAATATATAAAAAATATTAATTTTCATTAATCATAATAACTTTTTCCTCAAATTTATAAGATTAAATTAAATATTTTATCGTTTTAAAATAACATGAGAAAAATCCATTTTAAAAATATTGGAATAACAATAATAATATATTTACCATTTATTATCAAATCAATATTAAATCACTTATTTTTTTATATAAAAGAATGACCACTTTGATTATTAAATTAATATTAAATCACATATTTTCAATTACCACTTTAATTAAAAAAATAATATTATAATAATATATAAATATTATTTTTTTATTTTAATTAATTCTAGACTTGTTGTGATAATATAATACAATTATATCCTTATTTTGTTAAAAACTAAAAGTTATAAGATTAAATTAGATATACGTTCGTCATTATTTCAAACTGTGCCTGCCGGTATGCCGCGGGTAAATTTGAGAAGTGAGAATAGCCGGAGGCGCCCACAGGCGTCTTTGAAACCCAAATCCTGGGGCGTATGATTTCACAAATCTCAATTATTGTAATGACAATCTCACTTTTCACTTTGAAAAATATAACAACTTCACTTTTAAAATCCCAAATGGTGATACCAATGGTTTTAAAATTGGATGATTCAGTGAAGATACTGGTTTAAAAAATAATGATTATATATAAATTTCATCTATTTGAATAAATAATAGTTATACAATATATTATCATAATTTTATAATACTAATACAAATTATTAATTTGATTTTTAACATATAAAAGTCTAAAATATATCATAACAACTATATTAGTTGATAAAATACAATAAATCCATTACCATGAAAAAAATCTACATAGAAAATAAACAACGATAAATAATATAATATAATATAAATTTCATGAAAGTAAGACATAAAAAATATAATTTGATATAAATTAATAAATTATGTTTTGTAATTAAAAAAAAGCTAATTGATAAAATAATTGATATCAATGTCTAAATATAAATAAATATAGATTTTATTTTATTATTAAAAAATTTAAATTAAATTTTAAAGGTAGACATCTATAGAACACACTGATTTAAAAGATCAGTTTCATAAATTTGTTTACCTATCAATTAAACTAATTATGATAAAATATAATTTTGTATGAATATCAAACTTATTATCTTATTAATAACAATCTAAAGATAAATGCACAGATGCACATATTTAGAAATGAAGAAGGATTTTTTCAAAGTGGCACATATACACCGAAGTCAGAGGGGGGAAGGAGAATGGAAGGTCCAAAAATCTCGAACCACGTTTTCCTGCGCAGTAGATGGAGGTGCTGATTGGGCGTCATAGAAAGGAATCTGATAAAACCTCATGAAGTTCTCGTAAGTCATAAGCTCCTCCGAATGCTTCTCCACGTTGTTATTTACCTCTTCGTTTGGCGCTGCGGGGTAAGGCTGAGAAGGGAAAGGCTCTGTTTGGTTGCGATCGTAACACAAGTCCATGTCGAGGGTCTTGCGTAGAGGATAGTCCTCGTGTGGGAAATTGACTTTGGCCTTTTTCCCTCGGATTTTCCGGGCTTCTTTGTCGTAGGCCCTCGCAGCTTCTTCGGCGGTGTTGAAGGTGCCGAGCCACACACGGGCCCCTTTACTTGGGTCGCGAATCTCCGCGGCCCATTTGCCCCAGGGCCGCTGCCTTATCCCTCTGTACAAGTTTTTCCTCTGCCTCTTCGCTGTCACGTGAGGTGCAGGTGGGTGAATTTGTTAGCGGATAAGTTGGGAAAATGGAAGGAGCAAAGAGATTGAGACACTGAGTCACTCACCTGGGGGAGCTTGGGATGACTCTGGTTGTTGATGCTGCCGAGGGTGAGAACGTTGGTGTTGGTCGTGGTTGGCTAATGTTTTGGGCCACAGTTGGGAGGGTGTGAGGGTGCCGGCACGGTGGCTTTGGATGAACTCCGCGATCATTTCTCCGCCGCACATCCTTTCCCTGCTATCAGTGTCCGAGAGGTTTTTTGAGGTTTTCGAGGAAGGTTGAACTTGAGTTTGGTCTTGTGTTGGTGGGCAAGGTGAGTAGAGAAAATGAAGAATGAGAATGGAGGCTTTTGTAGGTGAAAAATAAGAGTGCGTGCTGACGTGACTGGTAATTCAAACTTAGAGATTGAATGCAGGCAGAACGAAGAAAATGTTGTGCACTTCGATGGATTTGGTATTTGGAAGTTTAAGTGAATTCTTCTTTCTTTGACCACTTTTTCATGAGTAAATCTTATAAGAATAAATTTAGTTGATTAAAAAATTTTGTTTCCGGTTTCACGAAGTAAGTTAGAATATGTTTAATAGTTATTTGTCAATATACTTGACTAAAATACTAATAGTTTTAAATAATTTTTTTATAAGAAATCCTATATGATATAATATATTTTTTAAATTATTTAGATAGTTATTTCACCAAATTATTTTTAAAATAAATAAAATAAAATAAATGAAACTAATATGAAAAAGAATAATTTTTAAAAAATTTATTAATAAATTTAAGAAGGATGTAACATTTGATAAATTCATATTTTATATTTAAGAAACAACTTATATAGAGATACCTGATAGGTGCAATTTATATAGATATATTGAAATATATAACCTATAACTTTATTATATCATATCATATTTAAATATTTTCAAATTAATTTTATTCTAATGGATATTTTTTTAATTTAAAAAAAAACTCTCATTTACTTTTATTTATTTAGTTTTGTAAATTTATTAGTAAAATAATTAATAATTTTTTTTAATGACTTACTATGTCATTTAAGATTCTCTAATACAAAAGTTATTCCAAATATATAAATAAATAAATCTCTTTTAAAATGAAATAAAAAAAAATAAAAAATAAGAAAAATAATAATTTTTATAAAATTTATTAAAATGAAATTAATAATAAATTATTTAAATACGATGTCTTAATAAATCCTTACATTTTTTAGATAAGAAAAAATTTATATATATATATATATATATATATACTTAAAAAAACAGGAATAAATAACATTAAAGGATAGGATAGATAAGAGCTGTTAATAACAAGTAGCACAAAACAGACAATTAAAAATAAATGACCTAGCACATTGTATGGCCAACCCGTGGGTACAAGCACGTGGCCACGAACAATATTCATTACTCACGTTCCATTGAACTTTCTACATTAAAATTGAAATATTATTTTTTCTTTGTCATGATTTATTTTATTTTAAGGTTATGTTTGCATCAGTGGTTTCCATTATAAATGTTTAAGATTTTTTTGTTTATTATATTTTAGAAACAATTTTAAGTTGAATAATTTTGTTTCCTAACTTATCTTCATTATTACAAAATTATTAAAATTGTTTTTCAACTTCAATCAAAATATCCACTTCTATATATAATAGTTTTTAAATTATAATTATTTAATATGATATTTTGACAATTTTATTTTTAAAACAGTGATCCTTCTTATACAAATTTCGTAATGAACAATTGAAATAACAATTTTTATATAAGAATATATATGTATGTATGTATGTATGTGTGAGATACAATTATTTTTAAAATTCATAAGAATTGAAATACAATTACACACTTCAATACTATTATATAAAGAAAAAATATATTTAGACAACTTAAAAAAAAAATCCATTATTAGACAATGCTTTTGCATATATTTTTGACAGACATGCATTTTTGTTTCCGTTTGTCTTGTTCACAGATAGTATGTGATTCAAACATAAACATCTAGACTCTTAGTGCAAGTTGGAAATTGTTGATCCGGAGTTTATATATTAAATTTCAAAGTAATCGTGCAAACTGAAATAGAACTTTCATAAAAATGTGTTAAATATTCAAAAAATTTGATGAATATCTATAAAATAATTTACTGAAGCATTTTTAATGCTCATAAAACATTCATATTATTATGCTCCCCATACTGTCCCAAAGGGTATAAGTTTATGAAAATTTATTTAGATGAAATTACAAGAAGAGCATCTAAAAAGTGGTGAGGGTAGTGGGGAACGCAGTGGTGATTTATTGGAGAAGAATAACGTGTGGCGTGAGATGAGATGAGAGAGTTATTCACGGATCTGTGTAGTGCACCTTAGGCATGATTAAGTAGTTTGATTTTGAATAGTGGACAGGTTTTAGTGAATGAAGCTAGAATTGAGGAGTCTTAATAATCATGGCGGATAAGTAAACACGTGTAACGCAGGGTTGAATGGACTGATTCTTCTTTCTTGACCTAAGAAGCCAAGTAACAATCCGGAAAAAAGGAACAAGCCCGATTCTGTCTCGTGTTTCTCTCACTCTCAATCTCCTTTATTAATGTCATATACAACTCCCTCCCTTAGCCTAGCGTCGCACTTTGAAGAAACAAAAGAGCAAAAAGGGACAGGAAGAGAAAAGGTTAAGTATAACAAGCAAATATATACGTATCCATGGAGGAACAAAGGAGCATGATCACAAACAGGCAAGGAAGGAAGAAATTCCTTCCATTAAGCGGCTTATGTATTGGCGGCGAAGGTGGGATTGCGGGGCTTTTTGTGTTCGGTGGAGCCTTGGCCATTGCAGGTTTCATGGCAGCTGCTTCTTTTGCCAGCAACAAACAAGAGGCAAAGGGCACCCATGATCAACAGACTAAACCTAAACCCCAACAACTGTTATTGGCCGAACACGAGTGTAAGAGTGAAGAAGATCATCATGACACCACCCAAAGTCTCACCTCTCTTATTCAGAACTCATCAATCCAACATGGAGATGCCACATGGTATGCTACGTGATGCACTTCCTTCTTTATATATATATATATTCCTGTCTTTTTTGTCTTGTCCAATTCCAACGCTTCGATAACTTGCGTTTGTTTGTTACTGCATGCAGCTATTGGAAATCTGATATGGGCATCGACCAAGTAAGTAATTCATCCTTAGTTCCTGTAAGAATGTAAATGCTTGAGTTTGTGCATGGCCTTTCACTTGGATATTTTTTCCAGGAGGAGAAAAGTGGGCTTAAATCGGGAAGTGTTGATCACGAGAGTCCAACCTGCTTTCAACATCAGGAAATTGTGTTTTCTGACTCTTCGCACCCAGAAAGTGCAGCGTCGTCCAACGGAAGTGTGATTGCGGAGGAATGCATGGTATCGTTGTTTAACAGACCCAGTGGTCAAGAACAAGAGGCGGTTCAAAAGGATGAAGTACCTCAAGACGATCAAACGTCCTCAGAAACAGAAACCGAAACCGAGGACGATGTTGATGATGATGATGAGGATGAGGATGACATGATGTCCGATGATGTTTCAGAGGCTGGCGAAGATGATAGCTCAAACGAAGCAGGGAACACCTCCCTGAATTACAAGGAGGAGCAAGTTTGGCCTGCAGAGCTGATTCAACATGGAAAGGAAAAATTCAAGGGAGGCAGCCATGTTTGTTCCGGCTCTGACGTGGATAGCTCTGACTACGACGAGAACGTGACAGTGAGACACCAAGCACATTTGAACCAAAATCTAAACTTATCGGTGCCAAATAATCAACCATTAACCTGGTTTTTTCCCTTGCTGTTGCTAGCGCTGCTGATGCTCTTAGTTGTACTCACGCATCGCCCACAGGAGTCATTTTATGTACTAGATGAGGGTCATGCGGTAGTGAGGCGAATTTAGAGGACCAATTGTTAGTTATTTCCAGAGTATCTTGAATGGAATTGCTTATTTCAATTCTTTATCAATAAAGTTAATATTTAAATTCAACATTTTTATTTTTATTTTACATAAGTTGCTCTCTTCAATTTAAAAAAATTATTGTTGTGACATTTTCTAATACACTTTTTATTTGTATATTTAATTATAATATACTGATAATGCAATTTTTATATTTTTCATTAATCACAAATCGTTCTTGTGATATTTATTTTAAAAATTTAGAAAAATTACAAGTATCACTTTAAATTCACCTAGTTTTAAATTTAATCATAATTTCATGGATCATGATGAATTTCTACTATTGACAGAATAAAAAAGGTTATTAACATTTTTAGTTGAAATATATCTATGCCAAAATTTTACATTAATGATATATTAAAACTAATATCTATTTAAAAATTTTGAAATTTTGTAACGCTGACTTTATGTTTACGACGTGTACTAATGGCAAAGTGCACTAAAAAGGTTATTAACAATTTTAGTGGAAATAAATTTATTTGGAGAACCCATATTTCAATAAAAGAAATTAAAAGGTAAAATTATTTACATAAAATAAAAAGGTAAATTTTTTACAAGACGAGAGATCAGAATGCGTATACTGATCCTGCTTATTACGAATACCAATTATTAGCGGTTTTTCCTAAATTAGGTAGAGATGGAAGACTTCAGACCAGGAAAAGTGACATCTTGTAACGAGAAACACCCTAGCAAATCTCCTTGGGTAAATGCTTAGTTTCTGCAAAAAGTACTTTTTACATTGTATACTCCTTTATCCTATCACTCTTTTCTATATACAGTGCCTTGAGTTTCGAGTCCTTGGTCTTTGACTCAATAGGCTGCTGCCGGATTATTGGGTTAGTAAGTTCGAACAAATATACAATAACTATAAACAAAATTTAGCCATATAAATGCCTATGCTGCTTTGGACAAAACTTAATTCCCTGGTCTGGGTCTGTAATCGTTGGACAAACGGAAGTATCCGCCAAGAGACACTGCAATCGTATCAACTAGCATTCGAGAACGCTACGATCTTCCATCAAGCTAGGCCAGCTGCAACCAGTAGACCATCCCAAAACACCTAATATCAGATCTACTTTAGAGCAAGCACTGACCTGAAAAACAAATTATTTGTGTAAGATGACAAAGTACGCCTTTGATGAACAAGGACCATCTAGATTAAGTATCAATTACAATGAATGTTTTCAGACATAATACTGTACCAAATTTTCTAAATTTCCTTCTACGTGAAATACCATAACAGCCATTCCCCTTCCTCCATCAATCTCCGCCTGGTCATTTGATAAGTGTTAAAGATATGCCAAAAGTGGAACCATACTAATACATATAATGTCAAGACGTCTTATTTGAGTACTGTATAATTGCTTGGATTTTGGTTTAACCACTCACCACGCAAGAGCATATGGCTATGCCTGCAGTGGACAATGCGGTAGTCACCTCAGCCATCATGCCTGAAATAATGTTCAACGGGTTACAATCAAGATGGTGAAATAACGTTTGTTTACTGTGCCAGACAGATGAGTCATCACCAGAGCATTTAATGAAACACTACTCTAAATATTCATTTCACCATCGTACCATCCCCCATCTCCGTGCCAAATTCTGACACAATGCGTTTCACCTAGATATCACTCTACTCTTACATTATTAGATCGGAAAAATGCAGTTACCAGTGTTCAAAGGCCACAACACGTATCTTATGTTGACAGTGTATAATTATGATTACCACAACTCCTTCATGGCATATCCTCATAAACAATATTCATTTGCATTTTGCACATACAAGCAAGCGCAGATTTGATCAAATATTATTCAGAACAGCAAGCTTACCTCTTCGATCTATACATACTACAGATAACCATTGGATGGAATGCCCTTCCATATTGTGCCAAGAAGCAATTTTCTGGGATTGCCAACTTTCTAAACCTGGCAGGACTTCCTTATATCTTGGAATGTTAACTTGAATCATCTTTGCAACAAGGTTTCCCTGCAGTAACATCTCCCCTTTGCCGTTGAAACTTTCATGCTGCACATGCTTATTATGTTTTCCATTGACCTTGGGAATCCAAACACTTCCATTCTTTCTTTGGAGGACGGTCTCACTTCTTCCTGAAGTTGATATTTCCTCTCCATTCACAAACATTTTACCCCATGGATATTTGGAACCACTGGAACCCTTTGATAGCTCTTCAGATTCACAATCCCCATCGGAATCAGTAACAAAGTCATTCACTGCTTCCGTAGTGATATCAGAAGCAGAGCGTGCAGCTTGCTCCCTCAGAAACTACACAAAAATATAAAATGTTTATTTAAAGCACAACTTTTCGAGGTTAAGCTTTCATACAAAATCATACCTTCATTATTTTGTGTCTCGCACTCCGTGTTTTAGCATGTTGCAACCACTGTTTATGCCTCTGAAAAGCTGATTTGCTGGAAAGTGCCTGCAAGCACAGTTAACATTATGAGCTCTAATGAAGTGAAAGACAAATATATACGGTAATTGTGACTAAATTTTTGTGTATCTATAAACAATACATTTTTCCTTGAAGAACAGTTTAAAAATTGTGTAAAACAATGTCTGTCATGGGAAGACATAAAAATTGTAATATAGGGGAAACATATGTTGAAGTTGTAGGACTTATTTAGAGAGGGCATAATATCAAAATACAGGGGGATTATATCAATATGTTGTTAAATGACAGGTAACAAATTATTAACCCAATAATCTTAGTTATGTTGATAATTAGGTTACTAGCATACTATTAAATGTCCAAACCTGAGCCATCTAATACAACAAGACTGCTAGTCATAATTGATTTGACAATGATTTGAGAATCATAAAGAAACAAAATATTTTAACAACTTCTAAGAATATAGGAAGAACTGTTTCATAATATATTCTAAAGATAGTCTAAGATATTACAGATATATTATGATGATAAGCTAAGGTATTCTATATACTCTCAAGATATTCTAACAAATAAAATTAGTGCAAACATGTACATATAATACAAAAACTAATGATAGCACACACTTAGACCATAGATAGTGAATCATATAATTCAATAAAAATCAGTATATCTTCCAAGTTCTAACATTGTAAAGCAAATTTATATGTGCACATATACTTAAAAATAATGAGTTTCCGATTACATCAAATCTATCAAACGAAAAAACAAACACATAGGATGAGTTGAACAATACTTACGTTATACGTGATTATCTCCACAACTTCTGCATTTGCCAGCACATGAGTTGGGGAAACAAGATTGCCATTGACCTGCATTTACACCAAATGAGCCTCTAATATATTTCAACAACGCAAATAATTTATTTTGCATCTCTTTTATTGACTGACATATGATATAAGCATGCAAATGTGGAGAGTGATACCTTTGCAGCTACCATTTTGTTGCCTATTTCAGTGTGTATCATATATGCATAATCAATGACACTAGCACCCTGAGGAAGATTCTTAATCTGCAAACAGTGTGACAAATAAAAATCCAGTCGACTTTTTCTTTTTTTGGGGATTAGTCATATAATACACGATATAGTCCATCCTTACCTCTCCCCTTGGTGTGAAGACAAAGACACGACTACCAAGCAGATCTCTTGTAATAGTATCTACAAATTCCCTAGAACTCATGTTACCAACAAACTCTTCTTGCCACTCTCTAATTGCATTAAGCCAGCCAATCTGTAGGAAAAGGAAATACTTCATTCATGAAATCTCTCAATGTTTAAAAGATTATTTCTATCATATTTGTCAGGAGAAGATAATATACTCGGAGTGCAATATTTGCATTGTTAAGACAAACTGTCTTCCCTCTGGAGCTTTTACCACTTGGTGTTGCACTTCCGACCAAGCCTGTGACAAATTCTCGCCCACTATAATGAGCAGCAATGCCCCTCTCAGCTATCAAATCCATTTCTTCCGTTCTAATCTGAAAGATGTAAGATGCACTAATAAGAAAATATCATTATGAACTTCTAGCCGATCTGGATGAAGCTCTAATTTGGACCTCTATTTATATTTAGTGAAAATGGACCACACAAAAAAAAAAATTAAAAATACCTGGACTTCTAGCCTGAACATGCTTTCATACAAAAATGGGATGACAGTGGTATGGAGACTTTGGTAGCCATTTGGTTTGGGGGTTGCAATATAATCCTTCACCTAGAACAAATCAAATATTTCTCACCAGTCACAAAGCAATGGAAATATATTTCTCTTAAAACTAGCACTTTCTATTCTCAGATAAAATAGAAAATAACATACTTACAGATCTAGGAATAGGGGTCCAGATTCCATGGATCAACCCCAGAACATGATAGCAAATCTGCATAAAACACAAACAATAAATGTTTTTTTATATACCAAGTAAAGAGGGGAGTGAAACAATCATATTTGAAATCAGGGTAAGTAGTTACCTGTTGTGGATTGGATAAAGGCCCAACCCCAATGCATGACTTTGGCTTAATAATAATACGAAGCTGGTTAAAACACAAAGTTGATTTTCAACAAACAAACAAACTTAAAAGTTTATCCGCAATCTTTATAACAAATTAAACAATCCAAGGTATATAAGAAAGAAAACCTGTGCAATTTGGTTAATCTCGCTAATTGAACTTTTCGATTTGAGAACTGCTTTATAGATACTGCAAATGACGAACAATTTTTCTAAATGAATAACCAGAAAGCATCCCAAATTACAAACAAATGATGCATAAAGAATGTAGAAGAATAGAATAAAAAAATATGACATGTAAATCAGCCAATCCATATCATAGAAAAGTAGAGAAAGAAAAGTTCTATCCTCCTCTGATGCATAAGCAACAATAACGGTTTGCAGTATATGATGTCAAACACGTCAACAAACATGAGCAGTTGAATAAACAAAATGGTACCATTGACATTGAGATTTGGGGCTTAACCTGTAGGGCTCTTTACATACAGCACGGACTTCCGTTTTAACGGTTAAAAGGTCCAAGAATTGATCATCTTGTATTTTCTTCATTAATATTTTGTTTGCCTATCAGGAAAAGGGAAACAAATAAGCTTAATCAATGCACTACAGTAACACAATCATATGGAGGAAAAGGTTCAACAAATGGATATATAGAAAGATGAGAAGCAGTTATAATTTTTCTAACACCAATAAGATAGATTAGCAATACCTCCAGAAGTTCTTTCTCGTGTTCTTTGTATAGCTCTGCTACTCTTCTCTTCACCTTAGCATAGTCTTCAGCATTTGTGTACATAAAAGACAGATTTTCTAGTTCTGACTGTATCATCAAAAAACAATATCTATGAATCATGATATATCAGAATTTCCATGATGCCATGAAATATGGGTATAATTAACTTCAAAGAACTTCAATCCTCAGTTCTACTGTAAATATGTAAACTCATGGCATTATGGGGAAAAAAGTGATTATGTAATTATAGGATACCTTAATTTGATACATCCCAAGCAACTTTGCCAAAGGAGCAAATACCTGCAATGTCTCCATTGCAATGCTAGTCTGTACACGGTGTATTCAAGTAAGAAACACAATTTAGGAGTTAGGCTATCTATCCACTCAATCCATTTGATGTAACAAGATTAAACAACAATATTACTATAAACCAATAATGGTTGCTTTAGGTAGAAGTGGACCCAGGTAAGTCTACCTGCAACTACTGGCTCATTGCTAGGGGAGGGCTTTACCTAACCACCACCCCCAGGCCTTAGTGTTAGTATTATTACAACCACCTATGATGAGAACCAGTCAAAAAAACAAAAAATGGTGATATTTCTATACATGTAAAATATAAATGCCTTGGGCATATTTAGTACCATTCACATTATGTCACATATTTAGAAATATCAATGACAATAACAGAATGTAGTAAAGGCCACTCAGATAAAAGATAATTCTTCATAAACAATGAAATTCATCAATAGTTTCAAGACATTGATAATTAACGAAGATTTGACTACATGGATTTTTGAATCTCAGTTTCATGGCCAGGTTCATGTTGCTACTACTCAATATTTCTATCAAAGTCCCTAACTTTACTAGATTGCATAGTTCTTTTGGTATGGAAATGTATCTTAGGTTAGATTTTCAAATGACAAGGTAATTAGAAAATTGTGTGCATCTCTCTTTATAGACAGTCCCAAATTTTGATAGCAAACCACCTCTTTAATGATTTAATGTTATGTAGAAAGAGAACAGAAGTACATAAGAAGATCCATTCCCTTTTTATATTATATTATATTTCAGTGTAAGAAACTGCATGACCATAATAGTTTCCTTCTGGCAGAACACAAAAAAGTCTTTCAAATCAGTGGTCTTAACCTGTTTATGCGGAGGCATATGTGATAGCGTGCGCATGTTATGCAACCTGTCTGCTAATTTGACAATTATAACACGAACCTGAAATGACACACATTTATTAGTTGCCAAACCACTTTCAATATACAATACATTTGGAATAGACAATAATCTATTATGAAAAAGAGGTCACCTCCTCTGTCATAGCCAGAAACATTTGCCGAAGATCTTCTGCCTTCACATCTTTAACGGAATCATTTTCATTCTTATACTTCAACTTTCCCAGTTTTGACACCTAGTTAGGATTTAGAAAGTAACGTGCATTTAATTGATTTGGAAAGTTTATGAATATGGCACTAAAGCTATTAGGGGATTTAAATTTTCATTAATGTTTTTCAATCAAGATTCAAGAATAATAAGTACCTTGGTCTCTCCTTCCACAATGTGGCGCACGGTAGCACCAAACTCCTCCTCTATCCTCTCAAAAGTAACCACATTTGTATCCTCAACTGTATCATGAAGTAATCCAGCAGCAATCGACTCCCAGTCAAGTTCCTGGACAAATGGTTGGATCCATAATAAATATTGAGTGGTTATACACATTTATTACGTAAATTTTCTAAACGAGGAAGCATTTCTTCATAACTCACTAGTTCTCCAAGAATACGTGCAACCTCCACTGGGTGAATGATGAAGGGTTCACCACTGCGTCTTTTCTGACCATCATGAGCTTTAAACGCCAACTGTAACAACCAGGAATAAAACAGAAACAAAACAAAATAAGTCTTACTGTGTTAAAGATATTATTTTACAAGAAATAGCATGCTAAGCTTGCTTCTTGAGCTAATCAACTTACCATAAAAGCATTGTAGACTAACTCCAGTTCTTTAGAGGACAGGTACGAGATAGCAGGTTTAAGATCCTGAGGCAATCATATGATAGATAATGTGACTCGGACACTAGCAAAGAGGATATCCCCATTCACAGAACTATAGTCAACAAGAGAAATTATTATGTAAAAATTCAGGACTGTACCTCCCACAAACTTTTCGGGGAAAACTCAGTGGCAGAGTCCGAAGGGAAGGCCGAAGAATAACATAATTGCCATTTTCTAGGAGCAACTTGAGACAAGTTTGATCTAGTCAATCCTTCAAAAAGTACAATATCAAGTGGTTCATCGGGACATGAACCACCTACACTAAAGGCTTCACATCCCTGCCAATTTTGCAAGATTGACAGTTAACCTAGTTAGTAATTAAAACATCCATTTTAACCATACTCACTCAACATGAACAGAATGCAACAACGGTCAAAAGAAAAGAAAAGAGGTTGATCAATTACTCTCATACCAATAACCACCATCCCTAATGCAACTCAAACATTGAAAGCACTGACACTTCGAAAGGCCAAGGGAAACATTAAAAACTTACAAAATTATACCGGTTCCTTCGTCCATTACGGCCATTGGACAAGTCCGAACAGTGGTGAGGATGAGCAGTGCTGGCAAGAAAGCCGGTGAGAACCCTCGGAGCTTTCCAAGCGCACGAAAGAAGACCACAGTCGAATCTTCCGCTTCCGTCTCCTCTCCAGAGCTTGCAGGCGTTCACGCATTCTAAAGAAACTGCAGCATCACACCTTCACTCAGAAAACCACACTCGCAAACTCTTCCACTCAAAAGAAACAACAAACGCTAATGAACCAAACGCGAAAACACACATTGAGTAGAATTAAAGAATCTAAAGCCCGCGAACGGGCACAGGGATTACAGAATCTAGAGCGCGTCAACAGAGCCGAAAGTAGCCATTAGGAAAATTGGCAGAGACGTGTGTGCATGTAGATTTTGGAGGAGGGGGTTTTAACGAAGGTTTAGTAGACGTACCTGACATGGAGGATGCAGAGGCCATGTTTTATTGGAAGAGAGCAATCTCATTGAATCTTGAATCCCGAAAGCGTGCAGAATCGGAAGCAACGAGCGACAGATGGGGTCATTGAGTTTTGGATTGCGAGGGAATTGGAATTGGGGAGTGAGAGTGGTTGTGTTGTGGAAGAAGGAATGAAAGAAAGAGATGAAATAAGTGCGTGCGATTACAAACACACCTTCAAGGGGATATCGAGTTTAGCTCGGGCCACACAAATACCGTTTCGTAAAGATATTTTTCTGTCTTATTTTTACATTTAATATTTCTATTGTATTACAGAGAATAAATTACTGATACCTGCTTATTTGTCCTTCTCTAATTTTAAATTGAAAAAATAATATATTTTAAAAAAATTATTTAATTTGTTTTATAAATTTATTTATTTAATTAGACAGGTTTACGTGTTTATATGTAATTGAAGAATAAAATTATCTCATAAAAAATAATTAATTTTTTTATCATCATTTTTTTCTTTTTTTTCTCTTTTTTTCAAACATTTTTTATTTCTTCTTTCTTTTACTTTATTTTAATTTTTATACTTAAAAATATTATATTAAAATTTGGTAAAAATATAATAAAATATTTTTTAGAATCAACATTAAAAATAATAAAAGTTTATTTTTAAAATTTTTTATTAAATAATTTTTAAAATTACTTAATTCAATTACTTATAATAATTTAATTTAATCATAACTAGATTAAGTTATTAAAATATAAAATAAATTCAACTCATATATATTTGATATTTTTAATTAAATAAATGATTGATTTATTATAATAAAATAATTTTAAATTAATTATTTATTAGTATTATTAATAAATTATTTAGTATTATCATAAATAAATTATTTATGATAATTTCAAATAACTAATTGATTAATTATTTATTTTAATATTAATTGAAAATTAGAAAATAAAAAATTATAAAAGATAAATAGAAAAACAATGAAAAAAAATAAAGAATAAGTAAGAAGAGAGAACAACAATAAGTAAAGAAAAAAATTACTATATTTATATAAGTTGAATTTAATAAATAAATAAAATAGTTTTTTTAATAATTTTTATTTTAATATATAATATTGGTAACATTAATTTTCTCTAAATTCATTCTAATTTAACTTTATTGGTTTATAACAAAAATTATTCATATTAAAAAAACAAAATTATTAATGATTAATGAATATCGACACAGTTCATTATTTATTTATTTATATATAGAGAGATAAAAAAATAATAAAAAATACACCTAGGACCAAAACATGATTAAGTATTGATTGATTATTACAAGTGCCCGTAGTAGATAGATATCTAGGATTTTGATGTCGTAATCGTGAATGAGTACGGTAAAGCCTTGGTTGAAAAAGTTAAAATTCATTTGGATGATCTTTAAGTTTCAAAAGTTAAAATTGTTGAAATAGTTAAATAAGTAATTATATATATATATATATATATATATATAATATCTTAAAATTTATTATGAAAAATATTTTCAATATAATGTATTAAATTATAATTTTTTAAATACTTTAAAAATATTTATAACAAAATACCTATTTGTTAAAAGAAAAAAAATATTATTGAAAAAAACATTACTATTTAAATTATTAGTAATATATATATATATATATATAATTATTAATTAATTAATTCAAATAATTATATATATATATATATATATATATTTAAATGGAGATAAAAAACTTTTCTTACAAATAAGTTTTAATTAATGTTAAGATTAAAAAAGTCTAATTATCCAAAAATAGGAAAAAGAAAAAAAGCGAAAAAGGAAAGAAAATTTAGGAGAGGGATTAACTATTAAAAAAAAGAAAAAAAAAAGACAAAGAGACGATGAAAAAAGATAAAAGGAAAAAGAAGATAAAAAAATTGAAAAAAAAAATTAGTGCATAATCTATAATCATTGAAGAGGGAAAAATAGACATATTTTATTTATTTTATTTTATGATTTTGTATTCTATTTATTTTTTTATATTCATTTATTTATCTTTAATTGAGTATTAGTCTTATGTATTTATTTTTAATTACACACTACTTCTATTTTATTTATTTTTAATTTAATATTAGTTATAATTTATATTTATTTATTTATTTTCAGTTTTGTATTAATTTTATTTTTTTTATCTCTAGTTACGTATTGATCATATTTAATATTTTTTTATTTATCTTGAGTTACGTTGTTGGCTTATATTTACATTATTTAATTATTTTTGAATTTTTTTAAAGAATAATATTTATTTATAAAGATTTGATGAGATGAAGGTTAGATTTTAAGATTGGCATGGGTAAATATAACTTTTAAATTTGAGTTCATTTATTACTAGTCATTACAAATTTAATTCAAATATTTATAATATAAAATAAAGGGAATACATTAATGAAATTTAAAAGTTGATTTGTATATTATATTGAGATAATATTATTTTACATAATATTTGTTTTTACTTTCCTATATTTATTTCTTGTGCATGCTACAACTAAAAATATCAACTTAAATAGATGGGGTGTCAACCCGAAAAACAAAGATAAATGATAAATCAACTACTTTTAGAGGAAAAAAAGGTTTGTCAATTTTAATAATTATTTTTTATGTGAAAGTAATGTAAAATTGTAAAATTCATATATTTTATATAAACATTTATCTCATGTTTTACTTTGTCAATATTTAATAGAAAATAACAATATCTTAAAATATAATTAAATTAAGAACTTAATAAAAAAAATATGTCAAGTTAGATGCTATCGAACAACTTTCATGTATAATTTCAGATGACTAATAATAAGAGAAACAATGAGTAGACAAAAGTGTTATAAGTTATTCTAAATATGGTTACTCATTACGAAGGAACCAAAGACATGAAGAAAATCTATGAATCATAAGGTTTAGTTAAATTTAGGAGAAACAAACCTTCACAAATTTCTAGAAGTTATAACCCAAAAAGGATTGTGGATTAAAGAATTTGAAAAAATATTTTGAGTTATGACCAAAAGGTGAGTTAAGTTATTTTTATGTTAATAAAAGAGACTGAAGATTAGTCGAATAATACCCGGAGATTATTAGAAGGAGAAAAAATAATCATTATTTATAAGGTATTTAGAATAAAAATTTTAGAAAAATATTTTTCTAATGGCGTAAGGAGAGCAAAATAAATAGAGTTTATGCAATTGAAGTAAAACAATATGACAATAGGAGAATATGCATTCAAGTTTGAAGAGTTGAGGAAATACTCGGCGTTCTTTTATTACCTAGGTGAAAAAATGAAGTGTATACAAATTAAAAATAAACTTAGGCCTGAATTGAGAAAAAACAGTGAGAATATTAGAGATTTTTTTTCTACACTTATTCACAAATGTAGATTTTTGGAGGATTTTGAAAATTATTAAAATAATAAATCAAAATATTTCAAACTCCAACAAAAAAAGACAAAATGAAGGAAAGTCTTATAACTGCCCCAATAGAGATCTCAACCTAAGCCATTTTTTTTTCCAGAAAATTCTAATAAATCTACAAATAATCAACTGAAGTGTTTTAAGTGTGGACAAAAAACTTATGCAAAAGATTGTCATCCTAAAAGGTGTGTTTGTTTTAAGTGTGAAAAACATAGTTATATATTTTCTAAATGTCAACAATGAAAATTACATTCTAATCCTTCTGCACCAAAAGCAAAACCTCTAAGAGTATACACTAAGATTGGAACTGGAGTTTCTCAAAATAATTATTTGATCTAAGGTACGTGTTTCATTAAAGGTAAAACTTAAATGTATTGTACGATTCAGGCGCAAATCATTCATTAATTTATAATGGTTGTGTTCAAACCTTGAATTGTCAACTTCCTTTCTAAGCATTAACTTGATTGTTTCAACTCCCATAAGTAAGTCCGTAATTACCAATAAATTTTGTCTAGATTGTCCTCTGTTTATTGAAAATAGAAGTTTTATTATAAATTTAATTTGTGTATATTTATCTCAATTAGATGTAATCTTAGGTATGAAATAATTATCTTCCAATCAAGTCTTTATGAAATGTACAGGAAAATATGTAATATTTTTAAATCCTAATGATTTTTTTAATTCATCTACCAATTTAGTAAGTGAGCCTTTAAATAATGAAGTTTAAGGATATTTTTTATTATCTTTTGTGAAAGTAAAAGAGGGAGTAAATAAGTAAAAATATAGTAGTTTGTTCAAAATTTCTTGAATTTTATCCCAATGATATTCATGGTATGCCACCAAATAGAGAGATTAAATTTTTAATAAATTTGATATTCAAAACTGAACCAATTTCTAACACACAGATAAGATATCACCCTTTAAACTAACGAAATTAAAGAAACAATTGGAAGAATTACTTAAAAAATAATTTATTCATCTTTGTATATCACCTTAGAAGCCCCTATTTTGTTAGTTAAGAAAAAGATGGAAGTTTTAAGTTATATGTAAATTATCGTCAATTAAATAAATTCACTATAAAGAATAAATACCCTCTCCCTGTAATAGATGACTTGATGAACCAATTAAGAGGAACCTTTGTATTTTCTAAAATAAATTTAAGTTAGAATATTATTAAATTAAAGTAAATATAGAAGATATATAAAAAATTGCATTCTGAACCAGATATGGTCATTAAGAATATCAGGTGATGATGTCTTTTGGTATAACCAATACTTCTGTAATATTCATGAATTATATGAACAAGATCTTTCATCCACATTTGATTATTTTGTAGTGATTTTTATAGATGACATTCTTATTTATTCAAAAACTCATTAAGAGCATGAATAACACCTTCAAATTGTTCTTCAAATTCTGAAAGACAAAATTGTTAAATTATGTAAGTGTGAATTTTGGTTAGATGAAGTGAAATTCTTAGGTCATGTGATTTTCAAAGAATGAGTGCCAATAGATCCAACCAAAGTAGAAACAATTTTACAATGTGATCCACCAAAAACAAAAAAATGTGAGAATAATTTTCAAGAGCTTAAAAAAATATTAATTGCGTCTCCTGTATTAGCATTACCTAATCCTACTAGACACTTCATGGTATTTTCTGATGCTTCTAAAATGGGATTAAGATGTATTCTTATGCAAGATAGAAAGATAGTCACATATGCTTATAGGCAATAATTACGAACACATGAGAAAATTTATCCAACTCATGATCTAGAACTAGCTGTCATTGTTTTTGCACTTTAAATATAAGGACAT